AATTTATAGAAGGCCATAAAGTGTCAGACATGACGAAATTTTTCATGCAAAAAAAATGCTTCTTAGGTCTTCTATAAATTGAATGCAGTTCGATAAAGAGATACTGGTGTTGGAAGTTTTAGGTTTCTCGACAACCTCATTCAAGCAGGTTTATTGGAGATTTTAGGGTCCACAAATTCTGATAGAGAATTCTTTTAGCTACTTAAAATGCTTTTTCTCCAGATTCTTTCTTGCTATTACCATTGAAAAGAAAACTCTAAAATACAACTATTCTAAACTCTTGTCCGTCACTATTTGTTTTTGTAGCCATCTCGAGAATTAGCTCAACAAACTTCAAATCAAATTCAAGTATTTCAAAAATATTTGAATAATCCTCGAGTTCGGTAAGTTCCGAAAAAAACAAAAAAAAAATTATAAATTATTTTAATTCAATTTGTGGAAAATAGAGAACTTGTCATTATTGGTGGCGTTGCTATTGGTGAACAAACACGTGTATTACATGAAGGTGTTGATATAATTGTTGCTACACCAGGTCGTCTTGATGAATTAATCAGTGGCGGTGAAATTGATTTAACACATATGCGATTTTTTATTCTTGATGAAGCTGTAAATAGAAATAATTTTTTTTTAAATTTATTTTATTATTTTCTATAAATATTTCTTTTCTTTTTAGGATGGTTTATTAACTCAAGGATATAAAGATTTAGTAATGAAATTACATAAAAGAATGCCTAGTGTTACACTAGATGGAAAACGTTTACAAATGATTGTTTGTTCAGCAACATTACATAATTTTGAAGTTAAAAAATTAGCTGATTCAATTATGCATTTTCCAACATGGGTAGATCTTAAAGGACAAGATGCTGTACCAGAAACTGTTCATCATGTGGTAAATTAAATAATTTCTATCGATTGATCGATTCTTTCTTTTTTTTGCTTTTAGGTATGTCTAGTTGATCCAAAGAAAAATACATTATGGCGTGGATTACGTAATCATATAAAAACTGATGATGTTCATCTAAATGATGAATTAAATTTTCAAAGTGAATCAAAAGGTAAGAATTAATTCAATTTAAACATGTTGTTCGTGGAGTTTTTTTTCTATTTAATCATCGTTTATTTTCATCTATAGAAACTCTTTCGGAAGCAATAAAAATTCTTAAAGGTGAATATTGTTTACATGCTATTGATAAATTTAAAATGGACCGTGCATTAATATTTTGTCGAACAAAACTTGATTGTGATAATCTTGAACGATATTTTATTAAACAAGGCGGTGGTAAGAAATAATTATAGATAGAAAGATTTTATTATATAGACATATAAAATTTAGGACCAAAAGCAAATAAACATAAATTATCATGTGTATGTTTACATTCGGATCGAAATCCAGATGAACGACAGCATAATTTAGAAAGATTTAAAGCTAATGAAATTAAATTTTTAATATGTACGGATGTAGCTGCTCGAGGTATTGATGTTAGTGGATTACCATTTGGTAAGATATAAGAAATATGTATATATAGATTCATTAATTTTTATGTCTAGTTATTAACATGACATTACCTGATGAAAAAGAAAATTATATTCATCGAATTGGACGTGTTGGTCGAGCAGAACGGTAATTAATAATTACTATCCATTTTCAAAATATAATGTATTCCACTGCTTTTTTTTGAATAATTTTCAATAGAAAGATTATTGAGACCTATGGTTTTCACCATTCAAGAGAGAAGATGAAGAGTCATCGAAGTATATTGTTTAGGAATTGACCAATCAACGTGAACTCTTGATAGAGATTGTTGAAAATGATATTCGGAAGCTATTTACCTTTCGATTTAGACTTTCAATAGAACTATTCGATAGAAAAAATTCTTCTCCTTCGATCTATACGAAGGCAACATTCTTAGCTTGTTTTGTTCGAGAGTTATAAGACTTTTCCTGAAATTTCCCACTTCGGTCAATTAATCTGTGATTACCAGAAAAAGCAGCTAGGCAAAGATAATTTACGATTCAACTCAGCATGGTGAATTATGCCTGTTTAACTACTTTTCTGAATGATCACAGGTCCATTGGCAGAAATAGCGGATTTCAAGAAAACTCTTATAATTCTCGAATAGAACAAGCTAGAAATATCGGTCTTATCTAGATCGAAGGAGAGAAATTCTTTCTATCAATTAGTCCTATTACAAGTCTTCGATTAAAAGAGAACTAGCTTCAGAATATCATTGTTGAAAATCTCTACTAAGAGTTCACCTGATTGGTCAATTGCTAAACAATATACTTTGATGGCCGCCGACTTCTCTCTTGAACAGTGAAAACCACAGGTCTTTATGATATTCTTATCAAAAGTTATTTAAGAAAAACAGTGAAGCACATTATATTTTGAAATAGATAGTAGTGTTGTTCGTTTTGTAATTTTTCTTTCATATTTAGAATGGGTTTAGCAATAAGTTTTGTTTCAACGGTACCCGAAAAAGTCTGGTATCATACATGTCCAAGTAAAGGTAAACATTGTCATAATACAAAATTAATTGAACAAAATGGTTGTTGTAAATGGTATACGGAAATGACTTATTTAGCTGATATTGAAGATCATCTTGGTAAAATAGAAAAGAGAATATTTTGTTGTTATTTTTTTTTTCTCTAATATTTTTATTATAAATAGGTGTAACTATTTCTCAAACAGATGAAAAAATGGATATACCAGTTGATGAATTTGATGGAAAAGTTATTTATGGTGAAAAACGAAAACAAGAAGGTTAGAATAGATTTTATTTTAAATGAAATTTATAAATTGAGTTTTGGATTTATTAGTACCAGCATCTAAAGGTCATGTGGATAAATTAGCATCAACAGTACAAGAATTAGTTGAACTTGAAAAACGTGTTCAAACATCATTTTTTGCATTACGTAATTGTCGAAATATAATGGCTACTTCATAAACATAAATTTACAATATGCTTTTCTTTTTCGTTTTGTTGTTATGTTTGCTTTTTGATTTTTGATTTTTTCGTTTTTCTTTTTGTTGGTATTAACGCATATGGCATTTTTAAAGGACAAAAATCAAGTTATTAAAATCATTATTTATTCCTGTTATATTCTATATAAAAGATAGCTTTTACGCTCAATTCATTTTGAATTAATATGGAAAAGAAGATAGAATTGTTTTAATTTTAAATGTATCGTACAAATTTGTTTAGTGGAAATTGAAAAATCATTCTGATAGGTAGTATGAAAGGAGTAGTGTAAAGGAGGTGACATGCTATATCGTGATTGTATATATTTATAAAAGTATGATGATGCAGATAAATTTGTCATCGTACTAAAAATAGACACGGTTGTCCTGTGCTCTTTGTCAAGCTTATATGCTTCGCACACCTCTTCTTTTTTTTGCTCGGTGAATACGTTTCGAAAGCTTGAAATCATCTCTTCTGTGTTCTTCTAGCATGAATGGAACCATGATGATTTGGACAACGTTACATAGGTGTGTGCTAGAGCGCGAAACAACGAAGAACAGCCTTATCTAGTTCTGTACGGTGCTACTAGTCGTCATATATATATTTTTCTTTCTTCATATTGTGCGTACATTTATTTATATTTATAATTTTTATTTTCCTATATTGTTTGATAGGATCATTTATTTTGTTTATTACTATTTGTTTTTCGTTAGTTATTACCATATTTTTCTTTCATTTATGCTTCATTAAGCATACGCTCTTCACGACATTATTTTATTCTACTTGAATATTTTACTGAATAATATATTTCTTCGCATTTTTTTTTCATGCTCTTTGCGTTTATCTTTGATTGATTGTGATCTTCTCTTTCTTGTTTACTCTTGACTCAATATAATCATGACGTTTTATAAGCTCTTTTCTCATATTGTCATAGTTTTATCGTCGATCATTTTCGAAAAGCATCAGAAAACACATCCAATTACACATTTCCATCTTAAAAGTCATATACTTTTTGCACATGTCATATTTTCATTAAATCTATAATAAGTTTTTTAAGCTTTATCTCGAAATAAGCTTTGAATATTGATTATGAAGAAATTGATATCGCGTAAAAATGAATAATCATTTCTATGATTAAGTACAAAATACGTCTCTTCAAAAGTTGTTTATAGTTCATTGAAATGAAGTATTTTTTTTTTCACTATAATCAAAAAAGTTATGTTTTAATCATACAACTGATCGAAATCAGAAAATAAAAGTAACCATGGTGAAAATCAATATTAAGGAAACTCTATGAATAGTTGTCAACATATTTCGAATGAAAACTTAATTATTTGCTTGATTTTCATTCTAATGCATTATCTATCATCCACTGTGTTCACAATTATCATATATAAAACAACTCGTCTACAGAGGCTGTGTAACTGCTGACTGTTATTGCTGTCTTCATTTGAAAAGAAATAAAGGCAACAGAAATTTGTCTGTTTATGGATAATTTTCTGTAAGAAACGCAAAACGAATGGCATCATTTCGACCTTGATATTTTTATCTCGCGCCTTAATGAATATTTTTCTAATTCTTCATGCTCAAGATCATCGTATCACAAAATGACAATTTTCAGTGCGTACAAAGAGATTATTACAAAGATGCTTTTTTTTTTGTAATTATAAAAGATTTTTCAAATGTTTGACGAACCATTTAATAATATCACGAGAAAATATTTTTTCCAATATGCTAATGTGCGTGGTATAGTTGCTATTTATGTTGATTACAAGCGCTGATAGTTATTAGTATTTTCTAACTTACTTCGAAAGTCATTACTTGATTGAATGTTTAATCTGATTTGTGATTATTTTTATTGATATCTATAATATTTATCTAGGGCGTCTAAATAAGAAAAAGATTAATTACTTGTTTCTCTTTTAAATATAACTAGTTTTCGAAATATTAATGAATGTAATTTACAAATGTATTATATTTAAGAGTAATATAAAATTTTGCTTAATTTTTGGATTAAATAGAATAAAAATAGACGAAAATTTAATGTTTATTCATGCTTTTCATTGGTGTTGTTGATTTTACATTAGAAAAATCTTTAGAATCATCTTTTGAACGTTGTTTATATGCTAAAAAAAGGGCACGAGCTTGATCATCATCAACACATCCATCATTTCGACTTTGATACGTTTCAAAACTCTGATTAAATGTTCCAGGATTATTAACCTGTGTAAGAAATCGATGTTTCATTATTTTTCCTGGACTACCAATTGGTGGTGAGATTTGTTGATCAGTTCCCTAATTAGAAACATATGCAAAAAAAACATTGAAATATTAAATTTAAAATAAACAAACTTTTGATGGTGAATTTGGTACAATAATTATATTTGTGTAACTGCTACTGGCCGCTTGGTCTTTAGCTTTAATTCTTTCGACATCATCTGTGATATCACCTGTACGAATATAATCATAAATTTTGTCAACATCTTCATATATTTCGTCCTCGGAATTATATCCATTAAATGAAGATCTTCGTTGATTTTTGTTTACTTTTCCATAAGACCCAGAAATTTTGCCTGCTGAATTTCGTTGTTTACCATCTGATGATAAATTTCGTTCGTCTGCTTCCATACTATCTCGATTATGGTATGTAGAAGATACAATAGATGATGTATCGTCACAGGAGTGAAAGATAATATTTGGTTGTTTCTTGGAATGTAGAAATTTATCTTTAGATACTTCGTCTAAATTAGAATCAGATTGAGAACGTTTTTTAAGTAATGGTTGTCTTCGTCGATTTGTTTTATTGGTTAGTTGAAGAGGAATATTAATAAGTGAAATTTCGGTTTGATATTGTTTAATTAGTTGAAAACATGGTTCAATTAATTTTTGAAAAGCTTCAGTTTTAGATATATCCGACATGTTTGTACAAGGTTGAATTTCAATATCTGCATTTACTGAAAGAGGAATAACGATACATGGTGATGAAGGTTTTTGACTTTTTTGTGATAGTAAATTTAGTGGACAGGCAAAAACAACATTTTCATTATATGGCATAAGTAAACGAAGTTTTGTTGATGTTAAAGATGATGATTCATCTCGATTAAGAATTGCTCTTGAATTAATATTATCATATGAACTCAAACCATCAAGAAGACGAACAGATATAGGAAAACGAAAATTTGAAAGTATTTCGTTTAATTGAAAAACACTAGATATATCAGGATGATTTATTTCTGTATTTAATTTTGAATCATCCGTTTGACAGTTAAGTGGACTAAAACTACCAGATTCATGAAGAAATATATAAACATGATCACCTTTTTGAGTTTGACATTTTAAACAAGGTCCTGACGTGTTTGGAATAGATTTACTTTGAACACTTTCATGTAATATATTAACTATATTAGGTGTTTGTCGACGTTTTTTTGTAAAAAATATTTTCGATTTCTCTTTCATCCAAGTTGCTGGTGATGAATATGAACTTGAAGGAGATGTTGGTTGTTGTTGTTGTTGTTGCTGTTGGTGTTGGTGTTGTTGTTGTTTTAATTCTTTGTCCGATATTCGCCTACGAAAACCATAACAAACATTTAAAATAGTTAAAATTTGTCCTGGTTGAAGAATTTTTATATTATCATTTAATTCAATAAGATTATTCTGTGATTCTAAATCAGTTACTGAACCACAAGAAGAAGAATTAGTAGTACCAGTAGATTTTGAATTCTGATAATTTTTTGTTGAATTAAAAATTTCAGACGTGTATTTTTTTGTATATGCATTACAAGAACTACGAAGAAAAAAAGCATGTGGCCATTTTTCAATATATTTTTCTGGATCATCAGGATCTTGTTCAATAATAATTAAGTCACTTAATTTATGACATGGTTCAATTGATTGATCATTTTCATTGAGTAATTCAAAAAAACTTTGATAGCTTATTGGTATACGACAAAGAGGAAACGATGAAGAACGTTTTTCGTTTAAAGCTTTAATAATAGTTCGTTGATTATATGTATTATCATGATCATTATCTAAAATCTCATCATCGCTCATATTAGATACTTGATTTGGTGCCGTTAATGAAGCAAGTGATTTAGATAATTTTTTCATTCTAAGAAATTTTGTTGATGCTTTTGTTGGGACTCTTTGTGTTAATATTGAGCGAGATCGATGAAAAGGTTGACGTCCATCAGATGGACGATGATATTCAGCTAAGATTGAATCAAGTTGACACATATCTATTAATAATAATGAAGTAGCTTTTGATAGAAGACCTTTTATTGATCGTCCATAATTATTTAATGATGTTATATTAACTATAATGGGTAACTTATATGGATTATCACATTCAGTATCAATATCGCGTAGAAATTCTTTTAGTGTATACGATTGATCAGAACGAGAAGGAAATGATAGAGAATAATGATTTAACATAGTATACATGATTGCTGTTGTTTCATGATCTATAAAACTCTGAAATTAATAGACAGAATGAATAATAGAATGATTCAGTGAATTATTGTTTTGTTGTTATTTCTTTTTCTTTATTTGTTAATGCTTTTGTCACTAAATGGCAAAATTAAAAATGTACACACATGTAAGTTTTTGTTTTCTTCACTCACCTACACGTTTACCAACTATGCTGTCTTTTTTTTATTTGAGTATTTCGTTATAAGGACACCGACTACTATACATGCATAAAAAAAAAAAGAATATATGAAATCGAATATCGGTGTTTCTACATTTGATTCGTACAGACCGAGAAGAAAAAAGCGCAACATAAATCTATAACCACGTGGGCATTATTCATTTTTTCTTTTCTATTTTATAAAAGCAGTCATATAGGTAGATGATACAACGCTTATATAAGTATTGACAATCGTCACAAAGAAAAAAACATGCAGTAGCCCACGCAGGTTTAGTCATGTGGTAATCCAAACAATAACAATTTTTTTTTCATGCATAAACATACACTTTTTTTTTTATTTGTATAGACGGATGTATAAACTTTAAAAAAAAAAGAAAAATAATGCTTCCGTATATGTGAGAGAAATGAACTATCAACTAACGAACATGTCCTTCAAAGAAAAAAGAATTCCCGATTACTTTTAATAGTCGATTTTTTCCAGACATATTGGATCAAAAATATGAGAT